GGTTGATGCATATTTGCCTGCCACCACCTAGTACCTGATTATTTTGATATGATAATCTCATCCCCCACCCCCTGGATGCATAGCATACCAACGTGAAATTTCAACTAACATACATACACTCTTTAAGGTGAAATGTAATGTAGGTCTAGTTTTAAATTGGTATTATATAATTTGCAGATGGAATGCCTCCATTGTTTTCAAATTGCAGTAAAAAAATGTAATAGAACAATCTCAGGATGTGAGCTATTGATTTTATAGATCATTACCTCATGCTCTGTACTCTTTTTTAATTCTGATTAAAAAAAGTACTATATTTTTATTTTACAATAACTTATTTTATTATCAAAGTATTTGATGAGCTATCCATTCAAAATGTTACTTCAAAGGAAAGTGACTGAGATAGATAATTTAGAAATTGTTTTTTATTTTTACACATGATTTTATTTTTTTGTGTCTGCCATATGTGCACCAAGCATTAATTTTTTTCAGTTCCATAAACATTAAGTCCTTAGATGTATTCTTACTTCCTAGATTCTTAAAGTACAGTATTTTGATGAAAGGATGTAAAGAACTGCAGTAGGTGTAAAAAAAACTGGTGTATGTGATTTATACTACAAAACCTTGAAGGGTGTATATTCAAAGTTTGGGAACCACTGCCTCAAAGGTCTAGTATGGTTAATGTTAGGACTAAAATGTGAAAGAACCTTGTGATAAAATGGCACTTTTTTCTCTTTAATAAAGGAAAGAATGAAAAGGTAAGTAAAGTAGAAATACTGATGTTAGCTGAAAATTTGGAAAAGACTTTAGTTTAGACTGGGCTAAAGTCCATATTTTCATATACATTGATAGCTATGTAGCGCCCTTTTGTTTCATTTGAGTAATGTAGGGTGAACTCTTGTATATAATGAGCTGTTGGTATGTCATAATACTAAACAAGAACCTCCTTGTCTAAGGGATTTTAGTTATACATATCTCACATTTATCTATCTATGTATGGAAGGTATAATGTCTTTATGTGTGTCTAATATGAAGATATATGTAAGTATGGACAGATATACACACTCTTTTGAATAGGGATGGACAGTTGCAGAAAGCAAGATCAGCATTCTCTTCTCTCTGTTCTAAAAACATACCTTCCTAAATAAACTTGTCCCATGGTCTTTACTTCAGACCTCAGTTATAGGGGTGACCAAAGAATAAAGTTAAAAATCTCATATCTGACTGCCACACCAGGGTGGAATTTGAATTTGTTTTTGTTGGGGTCTTTTTTTTTTATTACAGCCTTGTGTTGGAGTAGGACAGAGAGGTGAGCTGGCCCCATTTAGGTGTATAGTAAAATGAGATAGTGTTTTATCCAGTTTTAATAGGTCAGCTATCCCTTCTAAATCCATTTAGCTAATACCTTTACATACATTCCATATAGCATAATGCATATAATTTCATATACACAGTGTCTTCAACTATGCTTTATTCCATTGCTAAATGTATCATTTCACCCCATATTAAACTTAACCTTAGAAAAATGAATTAATGCATATCATATACCCAAATAAAATTTTAGGTAAAACTATGCTTACAAGGTATAAGACCAATTATCAGTTTTAGGTGATATAGAAGTATACTGTTTATAATTGCATCAGATTTGTTTTACACATTTTAAAAAGCAAGTTTGAGTGTTTGATTTGTCAAGTAGGGGGTAATTTTGGTGTAAATGTGACAAAAATATTTTTTGCAATTTTAGCCCTAGTTTTGGTGTTTGTGAAAGGGAACTTTTTTTCTTTTTCTTACTAGTTATGTATTTAGGGACTCTGTAACCTGATGCTCAGTACCACATACATAAGAATGCAGGCTTGTCAGAGTACACCACAGTTTGTAGGGTAAACAGCCTTATCTTTATCTTTTCTTCAAATTTGATGTAATAGTATGATTGGGTTTGGAAGACAGGTTAAGTTTGTTACTGCATTCTGTAACAATAAATCACTTGACCGTTAGGGACTAGTCATCATAACATTCCTGTATGCTTTTAAGCACATGTGTTTTTAAAGGCACAAATAGGCATGTCATTTGTGCCTTTGATTTATTTATTGCGATGCATAATAACATGCATATAAAAATGATATGCTGCATGTAAACAATCTTTCATAATGTAAAAACAAAACATTGTTACCATATATCAGGCAGATTTCTGTTGTATAATTTATTATTTTATATTCACACATTACTTGCTCTATAGCTTTGCATGTCTACCTAGTTTTCCTATGGTAAAAGAAATTGCATTTATCATACACAATTACTGTTACCAGATGTATTGTTTCACTGTATAAACTAAACTAAAGAAAATGAATTCCACTGTTAGGCAGAATCCTTACAGTATATGTAATTTAAACAAACATGCAGTGATATAATGGGTAGTTTTTTTATTGCATAATCCAAAAATGTACCAGAAGTTTGTAACTGGATAATCATTGCATTATGATTACAATAAAAGAAGAAAAAAAATGAAGGGTTATTTTTACCCCTAAGTAATTAGCCCATTGGTTAATTCATGGTGAATAATCAGATATTGGGTGACACTTTATCAAATCATGTGTTAGTGTTTTAGTGATAGGATGGTCTTGTGCACCCTACTGCAAGTCAGACAACTCCTTAGCCAGGGAGTGCCATGCCCTAATATATGCCTGTCCTTGTTCAACGTAAACCTATAAACAATTGGTAAAGGTTTTAACCCCTTGGTGCCGGGTGATGCCGATAGGCGTGTAAACAAACCGCTCGAAAGCTGGCGTGCAGCCAAACGAGCCGGTGATTCGGGTTGATGTCCCGTACTCGCGTGCTCAAAGTCGGCGCGCCGCCTTTGTTTGCTAGAGCGTAGTTTTTTTTTTTTTCTTTTGTACACCCGGCATCATTGGGTTAAGAGAAATTTTGGGAGTTCAATGTGAACTCCCTCCTATTACCCCCCCCAATCATTTGCTCATTGTGGGCGGCTTAGGAGAAGGGGACAGAGGCCCAATGTGGGGGATCACCCCTTCCTTGGTCCTCAGCCCTAGTCTCAACTAAATTTGCATGGTCTTTTCTTCTCCTTTCCCTTCCCTTTTCTTCATCCAATTCTTCGGTCCACTTATCCTAATTGTTAAACATTATCATAATGCTTCCTACTTCCTTAACTCTTTCCCATTCTAACAACCTTTACCTTGTACTATAAGTCATCAGCCCTCTCCTCCATTTTAACTACCATACTACCTCTAGTACTGTTCAACCTGTAACTTCACCCTAATCATTAACTCATTCCTAACCCTTTTCATTACTAAATTTTACAATAGCACCACATGACCTTTGATGTTATACAGCACTTCCTTACACAGGGGCTTTTCCGCTCAAGAAGCCTCACTGCTATTGCTATATTTTGAATACACCGCTAATGACTTTAGATAAACAAATGCTTCCTATTATTGTAATGTTTCATGATTCATTCAAGTCAATGGATCGGAAAAATAAGAATACATTTAAAATTTACTAAATTTATTATCTGGTCCCTAATACAGGTTTAAAATATTTTAAAAAGCACCTGAATCAATAAAAATCCCCTAGGGACACTGGGAGATAATTTCTATTGTTAGACTTAAAGGCGATGGGGAATGTCTTGTTGCGTTTAGAGCTTAGCAGGAGGATGTGACTGTTCCTGCAAGGATAGTCAAGCAGTGATCTTCTTCTGCAAGTTCTCTGCCAGCTTGTCCAAGAACTCAAAGGTGTTGAGGTAGTCACCGCGGGTGATGCTGGGAAGGGAAGGGAAGGATGATATTAGACTAACAATGATAAAAGCAACTAGAAAAATTGATACTGTTGATGAAAATTTTTAGAGCACAAATATGTCAAAGTTTCATATAAGGTATTTTGGTGGTATGACAACTGGAATGTATTACCGTCTTAAAAATGACATCTATACCAATAATTTGATCAATGTGCCATTAAGTTGAGACAGAAAAAGCAATTTACAAAGTGAAAACTCCCTACCCCCAAAAAAAGTAATAATGGAAACTTACTTAGCCATTCCCTTGATACATATGGCCAAGTCCTTGGTCATGTCTCCACTCTCAATGGTTTCCACGCACACCTGTTCAAGTGTTGCACAGAACTTGGACAAGGGTTCATTATTGTCCAGCTTTGCACGGTGGGCAAGACCTCGTGTCCAAGCATAGATGGAAGCTAAAGAAATGGGAAAAAAAAAGTAAAAATATAGAAACATAATGAACTAATGGAGAAAGTGTATATAAGAAACAATAGGGAAGAAAATATTTCAATATGTACTAGTGATCACAGATTTACTGATAAGAGAAAAAGGGAAAATTAAGAAATAACAGAAAATGTGTGATACAAAGCTTCCTGCCTTACCAATAGGGTTTGTGGATGTCTCCTTCCCCTGCTGGTGCTGGCGGTAGTGGCGTGTGACAGTGCCATGGGCAGCCTCAGACTCCAGAGTTCTCCCATCAGGGCACACTAGCACTGAGGTCATCATGCCCAGTGATCCTGAGGAATTGAGGTGTACAAATTACAGTATAACAAGTAATAAGTAAATAGCAAGATTTAATTACATAGAAAAATCACATAAGGAAAAATAAGAAGAGTACAGACAAAAACATTGTGCCTCTTAACCCACTGCCGACGAGCATGCCATGCCCACTGAGTTACTTGTTTTATTGGGTTTACACATAGATGGCTACACTTGTACTAACCCACCAATGAGCCAATTACGAGTACTGCCTGTCTCGCCCATTCACCCTTTTCTTTAATTTTCAAAAATATTTTATGTTATCATATTTTCCTATTACTAATGTTTATAACATAGTAATTATAAAGTTTACAATAAAAATAACACCATCGATATTCATAGCACTAGTAAAAAATACATTTTCCTGCCAATTCAAGGAAAGGTGAAATCAGGTAAGGCAGAGCCATCTATGTGTAGAGACATTTCACAAAAAAAAAAAAAAAAAAAAAAAAAAAAATGAGCACAGCATTTTCCCCATTTTTTATTCATTCACCCTGGTGGCAATGAGTTAACCCATTCACGCTGGGTGTCACGTATGTGTGACGGGCCCACTGTGAGTTTAATTGTTTTTACACATAGATGGCTGCACTTGTACTTGTACTGCCTGTCTCGCCTGTTTACCCTTTTCTTTAATTTACGAAAATATTATACGTTATCTATTTTGCTGTTACTAACATTATAGTAATTATAATGTTTATAATAAAAATAAGCATCGATATTCATTGTACTAGTAAAAATACACTTTCCCGCCAAATGAAATCAGGTAAGGCAGAGCCATCTAGTGTAGAGAAATTTCACAAAAAGTATAAAAATGAGCACAGCATTTTCCCCCATTTTTTGTTCATTTTTACCCGGCGCGAATGGGTTAATGGGGTATGCAGTACCGGGGGGGGGGGGGGGGGGGGATATAGTCAAACTATAGCAGTTTACAAAACTGGGTTTAAAATGTTCCTATACCATCTAAAAATATTCCTGAGCAATACTTTCATTATAGCATATAATTTAAATGTCTGGCACAGGTTTAAATAGACAAAGGTCCCAACACACTGGGGTGTGTGTGGGCAGGTTGAGACCTATGTGCATAGAATAAAGTCAAATTTCTATTAAAATCCCACTTCAAAGGATAGCTGAATGTGCACCTGGGAAGGTGGAGAAGATGCTCTTATGTGAAAATTTGGCTTAGGGCCAAGGGTGACATGAAATTCCTGTCATGAGAATTACAGCTGAGGGCTGGGGTGATAGGAATGACCTGCCATAAGTGTGCAAAGCTCTCAGAGGGTGATTAACCCAATGGTGACAGGTGAAGAAAACTAAAAACTTAAAAAAAAAAAAAAAAAGAACTGAGCCGACTTTGAGCGCGGGAGTTTGGTACATCAGGCCAAATCACCGCCGCGCCGCTGCAGCATACAGCTGCACGCCACCTTTCGAGCAGTTTGTTTTCACGCCCATAGGTGTCACCCGTCGTGAAGGGGTTAAACTCAGTGGGTATTTAGGAAGGGGCTTTTGCATTATTTCCATCCATAAACAAGTGTGGAACATATCCATGAGCCATGACTGGAAAAGCACTGGCTCCAGGATCCTATTCCTGCCCACTGTAACCAGCAGTACAGGTTGCATTACATAGAACTGAATATGAAAAAATTAAGTGACACAAATAACAATATGTTCCGTATTGTTACTGCACTACCTGGAAATATATGGAATCTGTGCAAGCAAAACAGTCTAATTACCATCTGGATAAAACAAATCAAATCACAAATATAAACATTGGAAAATGTAAAAAAAAGCTAAAAAATGCAGAAAAAGAAAATAACACTGCAAAGGGCAAGTGTTCGTATATGCCCCGCCTACTAGCTGCACACCCATCAGAGGGGCCACTTATGACAGCCTAATGCCCATATTTTAGACCAATTGCAGGCTGTGAAGCATCCAGATCCAAGGGATTAATGCTGCTGTGTAATTTAATGCAACATATACTTGTACAACTATGTATACATCCAAGTATAATTACACTGGTTGAGCTCTCAAAAAATATTTAGCAACATAGATACCTATTTACCTATAAAGTCTCGACACAATGCTCCATAGAGTTAAGAATACCCCAAGTATCACATACCCCCTTAACCACGCTTACCTATAAAGAACAAAACTGCAACCTACCAAAGCCTTGTGCAACAGAGTCTGACTGCACATCTCCGTCATAGTTCTTACAAGCCCACACAAATCCACCCTCGCTCTTCATAGCTTGTGCAACCATGTCATCAATCAGGCGGTGCTCGTACCAGATACCTGCAGCTTCAAACTTGCCCTTGTACTCACTGCAGAATGAGAAGAGAGGTGAAAAATACATAAATACATCTATCAAGTGAAATAATGGAATATGGGAAAAAAAAAAAAAAAAAAAAAAAAAAAAAAAAATGGCACAGTGAAGTTAAATACTTCAATATGGGGGGGGGGGGGAGAGAGAGAGAGAGAGAGAGAGAGAGAGAGAGAGAGAGAGAGAGAGAGAGAGAGAGAGAGAGAGAGAGAGAGAGAGAGGAGGGAGAGAGAGGGAGAGAGAGGGAGAGAGAGGGAGAGAGAGGGAGAGAGAGGGAGAGAGAGGGAGAGAGAGGGAGGGAGAGGGAGGGAGAGAGAGGGAGAGAGAGAGAGGGAGAGAGAGGGAGGGAGAGGGAGGGAGAGGGAGGGAGAGAGAGGGAGAGAGAGGGAGAGGGAGGGAGAGAGAGGGAGAGGGAGGGAGAGAGAGGGAGAGGGAGGGAGAGGGAGGGAGAGAGAGAGGAGAGAGAGGGAGAGAGAGGGAGAGAGAGGGAGAGAGAGGGAGAGAGAGGGAGAGAGAGAGAGAGAAAACTTTAACCCATTCGCGCTGGGTGTCAGGTATACGTATACATACATAAACTCTCAGTGGGCACCACTGAGTTTACTTGTTTAGTTATTTTCACACATAGATGGCTACACTTGTACTTGTACTGCCTGTCTCGCCCGTTTACCCTTTTCTTTAATTTACGAAAATATCTTACGTTATCTTATTTTGCTGTTACTAATGTTTATAACATTAATTATAATGTTTATAATAAAAATAACCATCGATATTCATAACACTAGTAAAAAATACATTTTCCGGCCAAATGAAATCAGGTAAGGCAGAGCCATCTAGTGTAGACACATTAAAAAATATAAAAAATGAGCAAGAAGAAAATCTAAATGTGTTCAAACCTACTTATCCATATCAACAAAAAATAGATAGAACATGCAAAAAAAAGCAAAGGAAAGTGGATATCCAAACTACCTGTCGTAAATCTCCTGGAAGATATCTTTGAAACGTCCATCATATTTCTTGAGGATGGTGTTCTTGGTGGACATGTACAGGGGCATTTTACGGTCAAGGGCATACACCATGGAGGCATGAGCAAATCCTCTGCAAACAAAAAGAGTGGATATATGATTATTGAAGAAACTGGAAGTAAATCACATGGAAATAATTTTTTAAAAAATAATTTATCAGGTGACAATGGTAATTAGAGAAAAAATAATAATTGTAAAAAAGAGAATAATTAAAATACAAATTATGTGAAGATAATGGAACACACCCTTGCATGAAGACAATTAGCTAAAGAATAATGAGAGAGAGAGAGAGAGAGAGAGAGAGAGAGAGAGAGAGAGAGAGAGAGAGAGAGAGAGAGAGAGAGAGAGAGAGAGAGAGAGAGAGAGAGAGAGAGAGAAAGAGAGAGAGAGAGAGAGAAGAGAGAGAGAGAGAGAGAGAGAGAAAGAGAGAGAGAGAGAAAGAGAGAGAAAGAGAGAGAAAGAGAGAGAGAGAGAGAGAGAGAAAGAGAGAGAATGAGAGAGGGAAAGATAGAGTGAGAGAGAGAGATCCTAAATACACCCTACTTAGTCCCACACCTCACCCTGAGCACATTTTCATATGAATACCTGATAGACTCATCCGTGTTGAACATGCCAAGAGCAACTCCTGCTGCATCAAAATTGTGGATAATGTGGTGGATTGCATCACCACCAGCTGCAGGGGTCCAGCTGATTTCAAGCTTGCCTGCACCGGGTACCACGAAATCCACTGCTTTGTACTGAGAAGAAATCATTTGAGGTTAGTACTTTTGAATGCTGTTGTGGAGGAGGGGCATTAAGCAACTGACTTAGTGGGAAAATGTTACATTTTTGTACAAGGACCTGTCATGTGAATAAATGTTTGGAAAATAACATGGGTAACAAATACCTGTGCTACACTATTGAAACCACAGGTGTCAAGACAAATATGCAGTTACTATCACCTCTCCAACACCTGTTACTTAAAGGTGTTAATCTTATATTCTAATGAAGCAATTCATGTTATCTCTGTAATTCTCCAACCAGCTTTAATGAATCCAGTTAAGCAATATGGCTCAAGTACTTGCACTGTCCACTATATAGCCTCACCTGTTTAGCCCATTCCTTGAATTTTCTTTGAAAAACTATTTACTTCCATTCATTATTGTTATTAACATTATAATTTTTCATATCATTATCATCACTATAATGTTTTATTAAACCCTACAATCCTGATGACGTGATCATCACATGAAAGAATTTGCCCTGAGAGGCAAGTGATGTGAACATGCTATCATGAACAAGTGCACAAAGCTCTTGGAGGGTGATTAGACTCATCTGGTATTTAAGAAGGGGCTTTTGCATTATTTATATGATCAGCATCTTATTCCTTGCCACTATGAAAGGCAGTGCAGGTTATATTACAGAAAACTGAATATTCCAACGACAAAAATTTACTTATTGTTATTATTCTTGCACTGAGTTATGGACTGCCTAGAGAGATGATATGAAATCTGTGAGTGGAAAATGGTCTATTACCATCTGGATAAAGTAAATAAAATAAATATGGATATTGGAAAATGGCAAAAAAGCCATGCATCTATCAGCGTGGCTGATCAAGTGAGCCTAATGCCCATATGTTAGGCTATGTGATGGCAGTGAAAGATTAGATCCAATGGGTTTATAGTTGCAGTAGGAAAAATAAAGCTATTCTTTCCATAAATTCAAAGAATGGGCTTACAAACAGGCTTAGCATTTTGTCATTTTGGTTATGAAGCACTTCTGGAGCAATCTATATGTAAGCAATATCAGCCCATTGGCACTGGGTACATATAGATATGGATACAGATGACTATAAAAGAACTTTGACATCAAAGTGTCAATTGGTAGGTCTATCTGGCAACATCTGTTTATTCCATTTCTTAAAAAAAAAAAAAAAGATACTAAAATATTGGCAGAAAGAGAAAGAGGAGCAGGGTAAACAGGTAAGATAAGATGACCCAGTAACTGACTCCATGGTGACTAAGCACTTGGAGACATTTATGCACAAATGAAATTAAGAAACTAAAATGACAGTGGACAAGGAATGTCTACATACACTCCCAGCCTTAACCCCTTGCCGCCGGGTGACGGCGATACGCG